TTAAAAAACAGCAGCAACGGAAATTTGCACAGAAGAAGCAGCGTCTCACGTCTTATAGAACATAGAGAGTAGAGTGGTTCCTGTTCTTGTAAGGTTCGTTTGAATGGCTCATGCATTTTTTTTTTTTGTATTGAAATGTTTGAAGATGTATAAAGAGAATAAAAGAATATTTGTGGAAGTCTATTTATTTAGTATTAAGTCCAATATTTTTGTTTGATCTTGAAGTAATCCACAAAGAATCCAAAAGTATTCCGATTTTTTTTTAACTAATTCACTGCTATTACAAATTGCAAACAAGAAAAAAAACCTCATCTCATTGTCTATGCAACGACATCTTACACCCTTCATTGCCTAAACTTACCATATAGAATAAGACGCAGCATGTCTGTGGCTAATTTAACAATCTAAAGTTCTGTTCTGTTAATCTGTGCGCACCACTTACCTATAGTTTGCTCTCTGAGAAGTGCTGGCTCACTATTGTGTACACATCCAGCTGATTAAACACGAGAATCTGGGGCTACATCTCCACAATCTTTGGTTTCCGAGTTCTCCAGGCATGTTTGCTCGTGAACCGTGACTGTGAGTCTGCAGGGCGCCGTCGCCAAGGATGAAAAGAGAAAAGCTGCTGTAACACCTCAGCTGAATGAAATGGACATCGGAGCCTTTTTCTGTGTAACCCATTGGAAAAAAAATCCGTCCGTTCTTCTTTGTCCTCGTACCTACTGCGGCGAGGCCCGGCTGTAATGAATTTCTGGCCATGAAAGCTGAAAATACTCCAGATCTTGGGTGAAAGAGTGGGTCAATGCACAGTGGGTACATTTGAGTTGGAATGGACGTGGATATATGGTGGGAGAGGGAGTGGGGGGAGAGAGAGAGAAGTGACCTTCCTCTGAAAACAGCGATCCAAACAGTTTCGAGCGACCTTGAAAGATGTTTCGAGGATGTTTCCAACTCGCTGATGAAGATGTAGCCATGAAGCCCTGTCATCGCGGCTGAGCGAAACCACACACATCATCACTTTTGCGGACGGTTTCCGAGCCCACACGACATATTTTGAGTCCGGTCCAGCCGTACTGTGAGATCGCCGCCGTCAGGGAACATTCTGAAGGGCCTGAAATAGCCGGCCGCTGACATTCTCCTGAAGCTTCCCAGGCCAGCGCGCTCCCCAAGACGGAAACTTTTCGAAACAATTTACGGCTTCCTCCTCTATCTGTCCGCTCTAGTGTTCCATTGAATCAAGCGAGGGAAAACCGATAACAGGAGGTTCTGTGACAATTATGGAGATTTCATCCTCATTGTATCTTGATTATTGCGTAACTTCTCCATCTCTGCCTTCAACACAGTTTGCATAGAATTATATACGCTCGGCACTGACTATTTTCATGGGGCAGGGGACGGTATTTATCAGAGGAAGCTGTTCCATCTTCATCATCATATTATTATCATTATTATTTCACAGGCCCAGATGAGCTGAGCACGAGGGCAGTACGTCTTCTTCTTTCGGCTGCACCATTAGGATTCAGCAGAGCTTGAAATTGTGAATTATACAGAAGCTGCTTATGTAAAATCTGAAAAACATCCACATAAAGACATCCATCTCGGAGACAAACTCTTGATTTTGTCCACACGTCGGTTGCCGGAGTGTGATTCAATCCGGACCTCTTTGAATAAAAACGTGGCTGCCGAGACGGAGGGATCGCAAATCAAGACGGCAAACGGAGGAAGACTTCCTTTGTTTTCCCCGCGCACACATAGAAAATCTCTAATATCGACGCGGCGGAATCATCAGAGAATGCTCGAAAGCAAGCGTGTTTGGGGAAAAAAAAGAACTTTTACTTTAGAATCCATTCTGCCATTAAATAGCTTTTGTAAAAAAAAACAACAAAATCAAACATACCTTTTATCATCAAATCATTAAGTGCTGCAAATTGTCCATTTAGCCACTTTCATCTTTCTTCCCCTTCACAAACACACGTTGCAGCTCCTTTTTTTTTTCTTTCTGATTTGCTCAGAAAATAAAGAGCAACACCAAAGGATGTTTTATGGGTGTTACTCTTGCGCTAAATGGGTTGAGAGAGGGGAAAAAAAAAAACAACACTAATCAGTTTGGCTTTAACAAAATGCAGTTTTTATCAGCTTTTGAGATGATGCCAAGTCCAAGCTGAGAGGGAGAAAGAGACAAACACAAGGCAAAATCAATAACAGGAAGGTAACAAAAATAGTTAGAATATTTCACAGTGCAAAAATCTATTATGTACACAGTGTCTGCATGTATTTACACGGCTACCAACATATAAAATATATAGAATCCAGGACGCACAAGACTCATAATACGTCTTACAGTGTGCACCAGATCCAAGACAAATCTCCGTAATGAAGATGAAGAGGAAGGTGAGTTTCATACTAAAATAAATAATATACACTTTATTTCTCTTTTGTAGCACTGAAACCTACTGCCCTCATGATTGTCACTCTCTGTTCTTTCCTTAAAACAACAACAAAAACAACAACTCACTGACATGTGCTGCTGCAACGGGTCAGTGGGTTTAATTCAAGGGGGAACTGCAGTAAGAGGATTGTTAAATGAAGCTATGAAATAGGATTCACTGCGTTCAGCTTGTGTAGCTCGTGTGTTTTCTTTTTTTTGCTAAACTGCACCGTGACGGCTAGTGAAGAGCTGCATCCCTGACTTCAATCATTTGATCGATGTGATTTGATTTGATGACCTGATTTGCGACTTGTTTAACGTGATTAGCTCGCAGCGGTGGGCGTTCGGATTCCTGCTCGGATAAATCTCCAACATCTCTACGCAAAAGTCTATATTTACCTGATTATCTGGCTATTACAAAAAAAAGCGCGCATGTTTACAATTTAATGATAATTCAGAATCATTATTCAGGTTATTACAATGTGAATATGTGCATAATGTAAAGATCATTTATTCTGTGTGGTTAAATGTGTAAATTCTGTCTGGGCTTTACTATAAAGGTCCAGAGGAACTGTACATGTTCAACTGTTGTGTCCTGTGTTATAACCCTTTAATGTCTCATACAGGAGTGATTCCAGTTGACGATGAAAAGAAAACCTAATATGCAGCACACACACCAGGGCCAGACATTCAGCAGATAAGAACACAGCAGCACCGTGTAGACAGAAAACGTCGTGAGTCTGACAGTCAAATTGAAATCTTAGATTTAGTCTCTGCAAGGACCTTAAAAATGAATTCAAAGAGCAAATCCAAAGCATGTGTTAAAGGACAAGTAACAAATGCACATATACGACTGAACAACATTTCTCAAAACCCTCATGGCCTTTTTAAAAATCAACCTGTTAAAGATTTAAGTTAGCATGGCCGAATGGTTGCGTCTTTAGATTTTGGCCTTCGTTAGGAACTAATGAGTTGGAAAAGGTATTGACATTCTGCATTGTTGTTTTTGTGTTCTACCAGCTTTATCCTTTAAGATGTTGATGTTTTACAAAGAATTTTGTTAAATTCAGAGCAGAAAGCGCCACCTTCCAATTAAGGAGTCCAAAACCAATCACAGCAAGCGAGCAGCCAGAGGCTTTAATGGCTATTGGCTATACGCTTTAACATTTGCTCTGTCTGAATTTAAATTGGAGACATCAGAGTTTAGAAACTTCTAAGTAACTTTCATGGGTAAATGCAAGACACAGAATGTGTTCAAGTTTTAAACAAAACTCTTGATCTATACTCTAAAGCCTAAAGTGACGATGAAAAGACAAGTAGAGGAACATGACGGTGTTTTGTGTGTGTTAAGGACAACAAGAAGATCAGTTCATATTTGATGTAGGTGCAAGGTTGTGAATAAGATGTGTGAACGTGCCTTTAAGACATCATTTAGTTTAGTCTGTGCAGTGTACAGTTTGAACATGATCTTGATATTTTATCCTCAGTGAGCCATTCTCTTGCTCTGGATACTCACTGGTACAAAAGGCTACAAAATAAATGAATAAATACGCATGGAGGACAGAATGTCACCACAAAGGATGACTGAAAGTTATACATCTTTGTCAGAATCATTGGCACAACTGACAGTGAAACAACTCTTGTGGCTGTTTAACCTCAAAATAAAGTCTTTTTTTTTTCTTAATGTTAAGTTTTTGCGTGCATTTTTGCTTCTCAGCCTTGTGATCTTCGGCACAAAAATAGCAACTGCAAAAACAACAAAGCAGTCAGGGAAATGCAGCATCACAGGACGCACACTTAGCACATACTTAGGAGTCGGCAAAGAACGAAACATTAATAGGAAATGAAAATAAAGTCCTTTTAAAAAAAAAACATCTAAACACTATTTTCAAATGAAACGTGGTGAACACACATTATGTACACGGTTCCAGAGCTTTAAGCACAGAGGCTCTTGTTGCTGTTTGACCTCTACGATGGCACGTAATGATTAGGTTGGTGAAGTTTGTGGATGTGTGTGTCTTTTGCTTCGTGGTACCACATGTGTGCTTAGCTGGACTTAGTGCACCCTCATAGCTGTGACTAACAAACAGTACCCTTTGGTATAGGTGAGGTAAGGAATGATCGGTTCTTCCACTTCACCTCGATAATCATCACTATTCACCTCACGTCCAGTCGTTACCTTCATCACAGTCACATCCGGCACCACCGTCTCAAACCACGCAACCCTCCGTCCCTGCACACGCAGTTTAGCAGCTTTAGGAAGTTGACACATGTCAAAAGCAGCTCTTGTCTCATACCACAAGTTCTCGACATCAAAGTTCTCAAAAAAAAAAAGCAGCTGCAACAGCAATGTAAAGTAAAATGTAAAAAGTGTCCGCCTTGGAGCTGATCCACCTCCGTCTCCATGAGCTCTTTGTTTTTTGTTTTTTTTCCTGACCCGTATTATCGTTCCTGGGCTTCACAAACCAGCGTTAGCCTCTGAGATTGAATCACCGGGATGTGCCAGGGTGTACGTTTCCGTGGCTCTGTTGCTCTCCTTCGACTGTTTTCCCGTCGCCACACTCTTATGTCCTCAAGCGTACGTGTCTCCTGATTTCAGCGCCACCAGTTCAGAGTCGTCCGTGTGGCGTCCGTTCAAGTGTTCAGTGTTACAGTCGTGGTGGTACATGAAGGCGGGTACCTCAGTGATGGACGTGGCCGTGTAGGACGTGGAGCGCATTGAGCAGTGGTCCTTTCTTCTCTGACCCCACTGGGTTTTGTACTGCATCCACTGTCTCTTCAGAGCTGCCTGCACCTAAACGTCACACAAACACACATTAAGGAAAGATGTTTTAGTGTCATGGGCAATCGTTACGGATTGATGGAGGGACTTGCTACTGAATACTCCATTAGACCATATCTGCATTTGGCTTCTCCACACACTGACTATGCTATATATAGTCCACTCTTCTCCTTTGCTTGAACATCAGCAGCTATTATTAAAACACCTGCAGGAACTGTGTTTGAGACTTTAAATATGTTAGAGATATGATGTTAAGAAGCTCGCTTATGACGTATTTGCAGCAGAGCTAAAACCGCAGTAGAGCTATTACTGCTTTATTTTAATATATTTAACTCCTTTCCGTGGATAATGAGTATTTGAAGGAATGGTCCACATTAACATTAGGCTGTTTTCCACTTGCAGATGGTTTTACGGTGGCCTGAACCTTCATCGTGTTCCAACCACAGGAAACTACTCGCTTAGAACCTCTTCAAGGTCATTTTTAGATGAGTAAAAATAAAAAAGTATATGCTCAGAGAGAGTAGAGTGGCCCTGAAAAACAGCTAAGCAGGTATTTGCTGTGATTGTTTAAACTCAGAGAAGACAAATGCTGATTGGTTAAACTTGGAGAGGACAACAAGCACCATTTCTTTCCGCCCTCTTGATGTCCTCATGAAGTCTTCTCCTCTCAAACACCGAAATCAGCAACACAAAATTCAGCTTATAAACCTACCAACCTCCACTTTTCTACTTCCTGTGTGCTTCCTGTGAGTTACATCTAATAGCTGTTGTTCTGCAACATTTGGAGTCGAGTTAGAGGTCCTGCAAGTTACATCTGCAGTCCCCATCATGCCGGTGTAGGTGGACACACTACAGCCAAACTATGTCAATAAATCCACCTGTGCACAGCTTTGTGTTACAAAGATGCTGAGAGTGCACAATATGTTCTTTTCTAAAAATAGCAACAATATGGTGACCAAATGTAGTGCAGATGTTCAGGCATTTGCTTGCGCAACCGAGATAATTACAGATATCTGACGCATAATTGTGTTGCTGCGTTACATCCAAATATTGTTTGAAACGTGTCAACAGCTGTCTGCCCTCTCATTTCAGTGAGTCTCCAGTGGGCAACTCAACCACAGGCGTCTCCGTGCAAATGCCATCATTTTGAGGTATGTTTGGTCGGAAAAGGTGCGCAGTAAAAATATTTCTCTGAATTTTCCTCAAAAGCACCTTTCGCCGTTTTGTTCTATTTTTTTTTTTCTCCCACCAAATCCTTCCACCAGACGCCCAGCTTCATATGCAAATCAAAGTGCGGTTACAGAGCAATGTGACTGAGGCAGAGCCTATGTAAACACCATCATGTGACAACAGCAATCCAACTGACAGTGATCTTAACTGATGCGTGCGTAATTGCTGCAGCACATGTGGATCGCTCGAATTACAATCACATTAACAGATGCCAGTTAGGAATCGTTGGAGTCACTTTTCTTGAAATGAAGCCAAGTTGCGAATGAGGCCACATCATTAGAAAAAGAGAAAAGAAAACATGTAATCCATATTAAGCTATAAGGTATCCAGTTTTTCCTTCAAAGCCGCCAAGTCATATCACCATGATTTTGTTTTTTATCGTATCTTGACTGAAACTGTGCAATGTGTTTATCAGCAACAAACAAAACCAGCTTATTTCTCTTCACAGCTCTCCACAAATAAACTAATTACAAAATTATACAACTTCAGTAATTATACAAGCAACAGACCTTCATGCAACCGCGTCGATGTCTTCCTGCAACCATTTGACACAGTAAACACATTAATGAGCATGTGAACCACATCCATTCATCACAAAATCCATTACGATCCAGATGACTTACTGTAAGTATCCCTTCATAATCCTTCTATTTAGTCCTTAATGTGATCATCAGTCATGGTGTTATATACAGAAACCTAATTCACAAAACTGAGAAAGGATGTTGGACTGACAAAAAATGTGAAATATCTGAGAATCTTGTATACAATCGGAACATCTCATATGAGAGAAATATCTTAGAAATATCGAAAAAGCATCCAGTACTTTGGAAAACTTCTGCTTCATTTCGCCTCCAGTCTGATTGTTCTCATTTCTGGAGGTTTTATAAGAACAACAACAAAAAACTCCGCAGATGCCTTCATATGTGGGAAAAGTCAAGGCTCCAAAACATACACTATAAAGTACCACTGCTGCATCTGAACAAATGGAAGCAGCTCCTTATGGCTTCCTGCAGAGTTTTCAGTAACCAAAGAAATACAACACCAGGATGCATAATCAAATGTTAAAAACATACAGAAACTGAAATCATTCAGTGTGCTATAGTGCTGAAGTGAAATCCAGATCAAACAAACCTGTGTTAGGGTGTATAGCTCATTTTGTGTGGTGGCCCCTACAGTAGCAGGTAGATGGGGAATGAATGAATACTTCTGCTGTTAGTCATTTAGAATGTATCCGTTATTAGTTCTAAATATGACTTATTTAACCTTTACATGCTTCCTTTGTTCAAACACTTCAAGACTAGATGTTGCTATTTGTCGCTATGCAGACGACACCCACATTTATGTAGCACTCTCACCGAAGCTAGAACAGTTTTCTTCCTGCCACTTGAAAGAAGCCAGAAGACTGCAAAATAATAATAATAACAACATAACATATTTTTTATACTTGTTCTCTAATTGTTCTATTTAGCAGCCATAATCCTGTTGTATAGAGGTGTTTTTGCATTCTCTCCCCTTTCTATCATGGAAGAAAATATGCCTGTAATATTGTATACTCCACTAATGTGAGCAAAAAAAAAAAAAAAGAAGTCTAGTCTAGTCCAGCAGACCTGCCATGTCTGTGCTTTAAAACAATAAACACCTGTCTGCAACAACACTTCCTTTAGCTAAATAAAGATAACACTGATTCATTCTTTTCTTAAGTTAAGAAGAAAGGCTTAGTGCATACCTTGTGGCACTAAAAACTAACAGTTACATCAAAATTCTTGGTGTTATCACTAATGAGGAGCTAAACTTCAGAGACAACATCAAAGTTGCAACCAACACATCATTGTGGTGTAGTTTACGCCTAATTCGTGATCACCGACTTCCCATTGAGGACCGTTGCAGCTTATTCTGCTAGAATACTAAGAGGCACCAAAAAGAGAGACCACAGCCTACAATTCTTAGATCCTTTCACTGGCTTCCAGTTAAATATATAGTTCTGTTTAAGGCCCTACTTATTTCCTATATATCTCTCAATGATTTGGGCCCAAAATAAATTAAAGACATGTTAAGTTAAAGCCTGCTAGGTCTCTCAAAGGACTCATCAGTTAGTGGCGCCCAAAGTTTAAATCGAACATGGTGAAATGGCATTTAGTCATTATACTGCACGGCGCTGGAACCAGCTGCCCCAGGAATTTAGATTGTCGCCATTTTGTAAACCAAACTAAAGACTGCTTTTCTCCACTGCTTTTTATCAGTGGGTCACTTGGTTTAAACTTTATATTTATCATTTTCTTTCTCTTCTTTTAGTTTGAATTTGAATGTTTTTTTGCAGTTTTTCTATCTTTTTGTGTATTTTATTGCACAATGCAAAGCACTTGCAATTATCTTTTGTGTATGAGATATTCACATGCCTTGTTGTTTGTTTAGCGTAAAAACAATGTATAAAATGGTGAAAAATGGCATCACAGTTTCCCAGATCACAAAGTCACACCTGCAAATGGCTTCTTTTATCCAACCAATAATGACTATTAAACTCAGAAAAATAACAAATCTTCACGTCTGAGGAGCTGGAAGCAGTGAATGTTGGGTAGTTTTCCTTCAATCGGTTACATATACTGATGATCACAAATACTCACATTACTGTTGTCTCGCAGCAAAAAGGTTCAAACCTCAGCTGGAGCCTTTCTGTTTGCAGTTTATATGTTCTCTCAGTGCCTGAACAGAATTTCGAACACAATCCAAATACATGCATGTTCGGTAAACTGATGATTCCAAATTGAACGTGAGCGCGAACGGTTATCTGTCTCTCTGCATTGGTCTTTAAATCTGTGATGGATTGGCGACCTTACCACGGTGCTCCCCGCCTCTCCGTCTCTAACAGCATGGTACGATACAAGTGTCCATCAATTCCACGATATCTCTGATTGACTGATTGAACAAGAACTGAAGTGTGAAAAATGTTCCTGAAAACAGAAACCAGAGCTCTGTCCCCCCCCCCCAGCGGTGCAACGTTATCATTTAACTCTGTAACACCCTTCTACTGTGATTACTGCGGGTGACAACAACACAAAAGGATCTAATGATACAAATTATGCCACTAATTGTGATAATGAGACAAAAGAGCAGCTGAGGCTTAAAGTCTCCACGTAGGACGTCTTGCTTGATGTCACAAATACAGCTCGAAAGCTGTTTGTCTCACTGACCCGACGCGACAATGGTGCCATTGAAGAAACAAGGCAGGTCTGTGTGGTTTGGCCTTGATATCAAAAACCAGAATCGAACTTGTGTCCTAATTACGGGGCCATGAATTGGTCATTATGTGAGTGAAGCAAACAAACCCTTTCATTCTCTTGTGACAGTTTAGTGTTCTCGCCCTTCAAACACGCTCTACACATTGTTTCTATTCCGCAAATAGTTTACATGGTTTAGGATGATGCTGCTGCTTTCTGGCTGCTCATGTAAAAGCGAGCAGCTGACCTGTTTACCAGGCTGAATGCATAAAACTCCACAGCAGGCTGCCAGCAAAGCGCTTCATGCTGAGTATTTAAATGTGCTACTCTTGCAGTTTATGCATCTCTGCCCTGTTTTGCTCTCATGCAATGACATACCTCATAACAACATCATCGTCTCTTTGGGTAATAGAACCTCACAGACCTATTTTCATGATTTTAACTCCAGAAATAGTACTCCCACTGAAATTTCTGTGTGTAATTACCTGCTTCCTCTGCACTATTCACGCTGCCATGAACTCTAACAACCTGCTAAAAATGTCCGGTTCAAACGTACAACTGGCATTCTTTGTGGACACCTCGAGCTTGAAAGCATCTTTCACACAATGAGTCTGCGGAGCCGCAAGGTCTCCACAACACCATTAACCCCGGATCTGAGCTTTAATGGAAATCTAGCAGGTTGGTTTGGTGAATCAAGTTAAGGATGCTCGCAGTCAGACAGCTGCAGACAGACTTAGAAAGGCTGACAGGAGGACTTGAAAGGAGAGTCAATTTCCAGCCGAGCTTGGAAACCACACAGTCATTTATAAACCGTGTCTTACTCTTCACCTGACATGACCCTTCTGCTTTTACTGCTCCAGCACCAGATCGGTCTCGGAGGAGACAAGAAGAGCAATGCTTTATACAACTGATCTAACGTGAAGTTACAACTATGTTACTAAAGTATTCGATGCCAAACCCCAACTTTGAGTCTGTTTTTCATATTTGCGGGTCACTTCTCGATGTGCTGTCGGATGTAAGATGGCAGAGATCTGACCCGAAAAACAACATATGAAAATGTTTTACCTGATGGAGTCTGATGTCTCATGCATAATGTCACAAGCAATGAGCAGTTTTATTGCTTCATGACTGAACAGCTCCCAGAGCAACATGTGCAGCGTGACCTTTATAAAAGGGCAATTGCTCTAACTACAGCAATATTATGTCAAACATGGCACCAGGGTACAATATTTTTAAAGGAACAGATACATATTTTGGGACCTGTTCGCTTTCCTGCCATGAGTTAGCCGAATAGATTGATACTACTCTAATATCAGTCTATTAAATATGATGCTACAGAGGATGGGAAATCGTAGCTTCGTTTGGCTCAGAGCAAAGACTGGAAACAGCGAGCCTTTCTTAATCCAAAGGTAATAAAATCTGCCTACGAGCTCCTCTAAAGCTTACTAATTAAACAAACAGAACTTGTTGATAGCTGCCTCTTGGTCTCAGCTTACAGACATGAGTGGTAGCAATCGTCTCATCTAAACTGTGGCAATAAAAAGAGAGTTAGTGCATATTCCCCAGAGGGTTGAACTCTTCCTTAACTTTAACCAGCTGAACCCCAAGCAGTTTCGAGGGATTTTATTTACTCCTGTCACATTTTTCCTCACTGTGGGTTCTTTTTTTTTTTACTACAATATAAAGTCCTGCACCTCTATGAAAACAGCCCAACCATGGCTGGAAGTAAAGAGAACTCAGAAAATGTCTTCTGGCCAGTAGTACACAGCTATAAGGGCTTAAATCATAAATAACAAAAGGTGATTTATTCTTTAATTATTTATTTACTGGATTTTAAAAAATTTAATAAAATGGAATGCACCCATTTTCCAAGTCCCCACAGGTGTTACCAATACTGGAATAAAAGATGACTCTAGATATTTTACTGTTTGCATTTTTAATTTGTTTACATACTATCTGCTCTGTATACACACAGCCTGCAGTTCATCCTAGTTTGGGCCAAGAAGTCCCTGAATTTTTGTCACATAACAGCTGAGTCACTCCTATCTTATCAGTTGTGCCGAGGAGTCCAGCTTTTAAAAGCTTGTATTTGGTAGTTTGTATTTTTACAGCCTCTGGTTCTGCAGTTTTGGTGTTTGTTTTTGTTGACAACATGTCTTTCAAAGAGGGTAGTGGGTTTCAGGGTTCAGACGGTAGCACACAATATGTGTAAACGCATCAACAGTCCTTACCTCTCCATTGAAGAAGCAGAATATCGTTGCCACCAGTAAACCCTTTTGAAAAGAAACACAAGCACACAGTCACTCTTTCTTTCTATTTTCCTTTGTTTTCACCACATCAACAAATTTAAATAAACTCCTCAACAGTGAGATAACAAGTTTAATAAAGAGCGAACAAAAACAGTATTGGTAGAGCCGTTGTTAAATTACTATCTAAGTGAGTGAATGGACTGCCTACCTAAATATTTCATGGATTGGCTGTCTGCTGTTTAATTAAGTGGATAACTGGTAGTAAAACAGAGTTAATGGGGTGCCTAACTGGTTCTTTAAATGTTAATTCAACATTGAATCACATCAATCAATCACAACAGCTACAAGGCAGAAAACAAGGTTTGTGAGGGCAGAAACTTTCAGTCACGCAAAGCTTAACATCTAAATCTGGAGCGGACAGAACCTGATGCTACTGACTAATATGAGTTGGATTGTGAATCAATTTTGCACGCCCACTCATGTTTCAGGGCTAAAGTAAAAGTATTACTTTACCTGTTAGATCTAAAAACATTTAAAGCTCATTGATGACAATGCTCATTCATTATTTTTTTCTTCATTATTGAAAGGATTTTGCCCAGAGGCGCGAAACGTCTCAATCTGCAGAGCAGCAGCAGCACCACTATCCTGCTTTTTCATCCATTGTTGAATTGCCTTTGAACTGAGCTCCTGCCTGGCACTTTAATGGGAATTTTGATTAATGTTGTGGCTTGCTCTGAGCTCAGCACCTACCTGGTAGTGCATGAGTATGTGCATGATGTATTCGTAGACTTCCCCGGCCAGCCGGTTCTCTGGCCTCCAGGGAAAAATGACAAACTGTATTCCCAGCAGAGGCACCAGAATCAGAGTGGCTCTCACCGCCTTCATGTACATGTTGGACTCTGCCCGGTGCGTGTCTCTCAACTTGGTAACCAATACTCTTATAATATTTAGTAGGAAGAAGAGGTTCACCTGCAGAAAATGAAGAAATGATAAATAAAAGAAATGCCTTTTTTTTTAAACTATTTTTTTGTGTGTTTTGAGAAAGCTGCTGTGAAAATGACAAATAATACCGTAATTTTCGGACTATTGAGCACACCTGAATATAAGCCGCACCCAATAACTTTAAAAAGAAAAAAAATTGTACATAAACAGGCCGCACTTGTCTATAAGCCGCAGGTGTCCACGTTGTAACATGAGATATTTACACAGAAAGATGTTGCACAGAAAGATTTTTTAAATTAAATACGTACTGGTAATGTACACAAATACATATCGTAAATGTTTTTTTCTGAACACTGCTTGTAGCACGGCTGGTTAAAAAAAATTAAAAATGCAGTAGCCTACCAGGAAAAGTCATTGATCACTATCTTCATCTTCCTCCTGCGCACTAAAACCACTAAAGTCGTCTTCTTCAGTGTCGGAATTGAACAGCCTCGGAATTACTTCATCACACACTTCTTCAGTCTCTCAATGTCACTTTCGTCTCGAGGCAAATTTGTAAAAATCCATAAATTAGCCGCATCATTGTTTAAGCCGCAGTGTTCAAAGTGTGTGAAAAACGTAGCGGCTTATAGTCCGGAAATTACGGTAATTATATGCTTCACTTTGGGGATCCATGTTTTTCTGCGGTAAAACAGTGGATTAGCAGACTTACAAGAAGTGCCGCCACTATAGGCCCATGGACCGCGTAGAGCAGATGGGTTTCCACACTCATCCAACAGCTACAGAGGGAAAAACATATCAGTCAGTGCCGTCTGCCGCCCAAAATACACATGCGCGCACACATTGAAAAACATGCATGTGTACGGATCTGCACGCTCTCACTCTGCCACACACGGCTGAGCACATATGCAAACATCTCCTGTTTATTTGCAGAACTTTCTGGAACATTACTCACTTGTCATCAAAATACTTTTTCCTTGCCACGGCGTGGATGGATACAGGCACTAGAGGAAAGCCTTGGACAGGGAAAAAAAAAAAAAAAATGGCAGCCAGATGAGGTCTTGAGTGAATTTTGTGAGATTCATTTGTCATTAATGCAACAGTAAAAGCACAGTTAGCTTTGTTTGTTGGTTTTAAACCTCCTCATCAACTACAAAATTGTTACTTTACAAATATCACTTTCTTGAAAAAGCCAAAACTTTCATGTCTTCTTTCCTACAAACTTTCCTGTTGTAGTTTTACTGCTGCCCTCTGAACAACAACGCTTGGTTAATTTTCTGTCTAATTTGACATTCTGTCTATAAAACACCCACTAGAGTCTGGGCTCAGATTTGAACTTTTATTATGGATATAAACAAAAGAATCCATGTACAGTCCATTTTCAGATGCCAGTGAGGCCCTGCAGCGTATCAGCCACAGATGGACCTCACTCACTGGCTCTGTTCCCCACACAGACACACAACCACGGCAAAGACAGGCCTCAGGGTTATCCTAACATTTTTAATGATGACCATCCATTTAGTTCCATCGCCGACTTGTTTGACAGACTGCACCCATTATTCCTTGTTTGGAACAGGGTGAAAAACAGGACAGGAGCGGCGCTAAGCGACAGGAGGGCCAATAAAGCTGTCAGCATGTCCACAATGACATACTGTACAAGGATCAGGCCATTACAAGTAAATTGTGTCCAATCTTGTTGAATTGCTTTTCTGGGAGTTTTCAAGCTGTGATTGAGTCCAGTAAGGACTTACAAAAATAGGTCCTTAAGGACACACGGCATACAAAAAGAAGAGAAAGACAAAACACGGGAAATAGTGCAAATGACTCACCCCAGCCCAGGAGGTAGTACCAGTGCAGATGCTGCTCCTCTGCGAACACGGCCACCACGATGAGCGTGTGCAGGTAGATGCCTTCACAGAGCATCCAGAAATAGTTGCAGCCCAACATGTACATGTGGAAGAAGTGCAACACTTTACAGCCAACCTGAGAACAAAGCAAAAACCGGATTTTGTGTCATTTGTTTTGGATGGTTTTTTTTGTGTTAAAAGATGACTATTAAACCATAATTTAATTTAAACACTCCCTGACATCGTCTCAGCAGGAGATTGAAACATGTAACCGGATGTTTCAGCAGTCACGGCAGAAAATTCATTAGCCGGTATTATCCTTTCCAGACCGAGAGGATGTTTATTCATTTACCCCCTTCGGAGGTGAGCCGATGTTGGAAATGATGATTTTTCTTTGTATTCGGAGCGCTATTTAATTGTGTTTGTCTCACTTTGCACAAAGATCACATCCATGTGAGAGAGTATATATTAGTAGCTTACATTGGACTGTGCAATTTTCTATTTGCGCCTCTGCTGTGGCGCAAGAACATGACAGCATGTCTCATTATGTTCCTCTGATTGAGTCATTATGTTGAGAGATGATGACTTTGATGGCATATTATTTGTATGCCAATCTTGTCTAACCACTGTCTACTAAAGCTCTAATTATCAAGACCCTTATGGATGTGCCATAAGTTATAATTCCGCTGCTGACTCCCAGAAAGGCACCAATGAACTTGGTTGTACTGAAAATCTACTTAAGAACTTTTCCAACAAAGAGTAACTTCCACAAAAGTAAATGGTTGTGCATTTTAATGCGAGCCTTGCTGGTGATTTGGGAACTCATTCATGCATTTTATTGGGAGATTTGTTAAGGAAACATGTTTTTGGACATTTTTGACAGGCATCTCTGCCAACCCTATCAGCTTTAGTGGCTTCTGTTTGTCCAAACTCAGATTGCCTCTTCCTCCCTCGAGCCCAAATTTGGATTACTGGCATGTGGCTCTAGTGAAAGGCCAAATGGCAGCAGGGGGTAAAAACAAATCAGACAATCATGCTAAAGGTAGTGGGTAATGTCGCAATCACTGCAATGTCACAATGCTTCTCTTCAGTTTGTGATCATTACTCTAAAAGCACGATATCAAACTATAGCATCCACTTAAGTACTACTATTATGTTTCAAGCATTTTACTATAAGTTGTTTTTCATATATTTAATGAGTCCGCTCACAGCTGATTTAAATAATATCTTTCTAAATTGTTGAATCCAAATCAAGTAGCCACACAGATTTTAATGGTGTCTCACTTGGATACAGAGACACCGATAATTGGCGTCTTGACTTCCTACGTGAACAATAATTTTCATTTCCAACTGAAATTTACAGTGTTCGTCTGTATGCTGATGATACTGTAATTACAGAATTTGTCCTTTATGTTTTAAAGATGGGCTGCAAGGTGGAGCAGTGGTTAGAACTGTTGCCTCGCAGCTAGAAGGTCACCGGTTCGCATCCCGGTGAGGTTCTCTCCGGGTTCTCCAGCTTCCTCCCACACAGTCCAAAAACATGTTGAGGTTAATTGGTGATTCTAAATTGTCCGTAGGTGTGAATGTGAGTGTGCTTGGTTGTCTGTCTCTAAGTGTAGCCCTGTGATAGACTGGTGACCTGTCCAGGGTGTCCCCTGCCTTCGCCCTAAGTCAGCTGGGATAGACTCCAGCTCCCTGCGACCCTAGTGAGGATTAAGCGGTGTATAGATAATGGATGGATGTTTTAAAGATTTTTATCCCCATATTTTTGAAATACATAAAACATGAATTAAATTACAAAAACTAAATTTAACATTGAACTTATTACTATGAATCATTTTTTACACTATGATTTAAAATATAATCACAAATGTATCTATAGAGTTTCACACACTGCTTTTGATTTAATAGATAAAACAATTAAATTGTTGGGGTTTAATACTGCATGTATATATATTTGTGTGTGTGTGTGTGTGTCTATATTTCTACAATTACATACAGTTAGTACAATTTGCAGAAAAACAACACTTGTCCTGTAATCTACATAGACTATCAAATGTGAAAGGTAGGCTAAAAAAATGCATTTTAATTCTAGAAAATTGCAGCATTTTTTATTACATGGTTATTTTCACTTATTTTATTTTATTTTATTTTATTTTTTAAACATCCAAGCTGGAGAAACATTACCTCTTTTTTCTGCAGTTGTTTTTTTTTTTTTTTTTTTTAATAGTATAAAAAATGCATTTATATAGCAGATAGATCTACAAATGTGAACTTAAAGGTCTTGTTTAAAAGCTGAACACTTTGATCCGGTTTTTAATCAAACACAGCTTGTTTCCCCTCTAATGATCCCCATACAAGCCACTAAACTATCTACGAGGATTGCTGCAATCCTTAAGTCCTTTGCCAAAGGGCTGCTTGATTTATTGCTCATTATAGCGATCACATCCTCCTCTTTGAGTTATATGAGACGGCTGGTTGATAATCACTGTCATTTTATTTACGCTGTCTCACTATTTAATATTCTTGGTGGAGATCAGGACAACAGCAACACAGGATAGGTTAACTTTAAGTCAAAACTCGCTCCTTATTCTTAAAACGAAACATCCTGAATTCCTGAATTCACTGGTTTCCCTTAAAGCCCGGTATAGAGAACATAAACATATATTTTTAATATTCACATTGGGGTTTCTGGTTCACAGTCCTGAGTTAAAAGAGCAGCCACAGTATTCAGAGATGCTGGCATTGCTATTAAGTGCTGCTCTCTGGGGTCTTCTTAGCTCCAAACACGCTGTAGTCATTCACCTCTAAACTTTTAGCCATATGTCTCACTTTCCTACATTTTCCTTTCCGCAGGAGGAAACGTAACAGACGCCGGCTTGTATCGGTACCTGAGAGTTAGATCACTTACGTTTTCCCTCATTCAGGACTAAACCAAAAGTTTGTTTTACCAACAATGTTCTGGTGAACAAATCAAGCTGCTATAGATCATGTAGATGCTTCTCGTGTTTTCAGCCTCCTCCCTGGTTTGACACAAGCTTTGGGGATTCACTCCCCCACAGCACTGGCAGCCCAAACCAGACTCTGTATCGCCACACCAGAGAGCATAAAAAGAGCTTGTTTTCTCAGCGAGAGCAAATCTCGACTACAATCCACCGTTCCTAAATCAGCAGCACCGAAAACAGCCCCGTAAGTCTCACTCTGGCAGCGGTAAATTTCACAATGTTTCCCAGCAGACACGCATGAATCCCAACCGGTGACGCTTTATGATTTCAGTTTTTCTGCTTCCTCGGGAGAACCAGAGCCACGGTAACTAATTTTATTTTGACAAGCTGCAGCGAGTTAGCACAACTTGACCGCGCTACATCAGAAAGTAACAGATTCAACACAAACCCTTTGACAAATGACGACAGGGGGAGATTTGAAAGGGAGCCACCGCGCAAAGACATATATGTTTCCTCACATTGACGATGACGGCTGTTGTTCCTGTCTGCTTCTTGGATACGTTTAGCTCAGCGGGAGCCAGACAGATCTGGTGAACGCAAATGAAGCGGCAGCAGGACGCGGAATCAAACTCAAACCCAGCTGATGCATCTGCTGTGTCCTCAGTGTTTCCACTACTTTGTCAGGCAGGAGATGCTCCAGCTGAGAGCAAGCTGAGGCTGATGGGATTGTGTGAAATAAGAGCCAACTTCCACAATCCTATCTGCTGTCTTTTGTGAGGTACTTTGATCATCTAAAGTTCTTTTTCTTTGATTTAGCAAATTTTTTTTTTTTTTACGCATTTACATATTGGACCGATGCGTATTATTATTATTATTATAGTCTTGAATGTGTTTTTTAAAGTAATATTTTGTCCGTTTTTATCACGTCGGGAGCCCGAATGCGTTTAATTTTATTTGGGCCTACATGAAAGCAAAGAAGATGTGATCCTTTTTTGGAGTTGGAGAAACTCTGCAATAACAACTTTTAAGAAGAAGCAAGAACCAAAGGCTTTCATTATTTTGATTTCCAAAAAGGAGGAACACACAAATTTATGTTCACTTCTGATAGTGAGACATTCCTACAAGACAGATTTACTACTTCTACCTAAGAAGACCTCAGGGTTTCAAAGAATTCACTTAAGGCATTCAGTGTGGCTGCAAAAACTCCAACAGGAGAATGTGGACGAGAGCAAAAAACCGTCTCTTGCTGTGCCAAGATGTGGCACAGCGAGATGAAATGCTACTGAGGACATACTTAAAAGTGTGTTACACCAACTTTAAAATATTAAAAATATAGAGCATACCCATTTAAATTTCGCTTTCACACACATTGCTTTGCCCTTGCACATCCAAATTTCTTATTCCTTGCATTTTTATTAGGTTTAGCATAAATTATTTGTATCTCATTTCAAAGCAGTGCAACTAACCTTCCCCCCTCAAACTGTATTCTGCTACATGGCATTTTTTCAGCACGCTACATTAGCATTTGGCTCTAGTAATGCCAATTATATCAGTCGGATGCCACTGTGGTCCAGATGGAAATGTCGAGAGAAATACTCTGAAATTTGATGCAGAAATTCATATCATGTGCAAGATTTTAGACATAAATGTAGCTGCAAACATATATCTGCTATGTGGAGATATAGTGAAGTAATGGCATTCTTACTGCCTCTGTATATACGCTGTAAACCTTCTCTGTTCTATGTTCTGGTAGCCGGTCTGGCCATGTGTGCTTGTTAGTGCATGTAAGTGCATGTGGGTCCCCCCTTTGAAACTGTTAGTCCTCTTGACATTTAGACTAACAGCGACCTCCCACGCCGCATGTAAATGTAGCATTTAAGTGCAGTCCAACACAAAAAAATGTTAAAAAAATTAAAAACGAAGTATTTTATCTTTGCTATGTCCCTCATTTATGTGCACTCGTTTAGTTTCAGCTCAGCTCAGAGTCTCCAGTGTTGTCTTGAGATGCTCCTCTGCTTCTCCTTCTGCATTCGTGTCTGTTACGTTTTATCTTTTTTTTTTTTAAGTGATAGGAAAGTCAAGAGAGAGACAGGAAAGTGGGGGAGACGAATGGGGGAAAGACCTGCAGGAAAAGGCCACGACTGGAACCCATGACCTCTGAACCCTGAACATGTGACACCAGCTCAACCATTTAGGATATCGCAGCCTTTGTTATGTTCCAATCTTTATATGTCTGTTTCCACATACGACTCCTGTCCTACAGTACATGGACACAGATGCATTTGGAGTGGAAGAGATATGAACTGAAAGGAGAAACAGTTCAAGTGAAGACAACAGTACTTAGGTTGACATCAACTTGATCCTACCATTCAGTGTATTTTGCAATGCTAGCATGTGCTAATTCTTGTTGCTGCATTATTTGCATTGGCTCTGTGTACACAACCATTCTGCTTGTAAATTAAATTGAACGAGGGAGGTGCGGCTGACATGCCCGTTTGTTTTTGGCTTAATATTGCAACAGAATCAGTAATTCTTAATATATCTGCAAAATTTATAAATGTTAACATGCTAACTTGCTAAAGAAAAGTGAACACAGTCAACAAAGTAATTGTTTAAAATGTTCACATTCGTATTGTGAGCATGTTAGCACGCTAACATTGTTTTCATTTAAAATGTCATTTCATCAGTCACAATATGAACAAACTGCAACAAGCTGCCTGAAATGAAAAGAAAAATCATTTTTAATTAACATTAAGATGTTTTTATTGGGTATAGAAGAAAATATTTTTGAAGGGAATGACTGAAGTTATTATTGTCATATTGATTCAATTGATTCAATGCTTGGGATCTGTGTTCGCAGTGTGCCTTAAAAAACAGCAAGACGTAGGAGCTGTGTAGTTTATTTTGCACATTTAAATATTAATTAATCACAAATCTTATCATCATTGTATTAATTAACAACGTTATTGCACATAGCAGATTTTCCTCAAATTGTGCAGGCCTCCACCATTTCACTCTTATTTCCTCTAAAACAACATGTTACCTAGTTTCCATCCCCACTACAGATGTCTGACGAGCACCAACACTGCGGTAAATATTCCACTTGAGGATCTACTCACCGGGTTTCTGGCCACCACTTTGGGATTGTTGACCACACCTACGAGGTAGATGATGGTGAGGGCGGAATTGAGCACGTAGGAGCAGAAGAGGTTCTTGTGGAGGGTGATCCTTTGGCAGCTCAGGCTCCTGTGTGCCATGATTGATTTTGTAACATGCTGACATGGCAGGACATGATGTGATAATTCAACAAAAAAACAAAAAAAACATACCACCTACAAATATGCAATAAATACTCCTCTGACACATAAAAGAAGACACGACTGCAACAAACAGGAAAACAGTAACTGTAATGACTGGCAGGTTAAGAGTTAATGATGTTGCTAAAAGTCTGTAAACTATCAAATAATTGGGATCTTTCATCTCAGACTACTTGCTTTTTGTGGTTGTTAAAAAAAAAATCCCCAGGATCAACAAGCTGGATTGCCTCTAAATGGTCTGTTCTGTACATGCTAGAAGTGCTGTTAAATAATGCATAATGGATCCCAAGGGTGCTTTCTCATTAGCTTGGCTGGCCACTCAGAATTAATAGCATAATAAAATGCATGGCAGGCAAAGTGAAAGCATCTATTAGAATCAGAATGGTTACAAGTCATTCATATTAGCACCTTTATTGATGATAATGGCTAAATAACGTTTTAATTTCACAGCAGCAATCAAACCGACTGCAGCTCAGAGAGGGTTTGAAGCTGAATGGATATATATATATATATTTTTTTTTTTTACAGAGTATAGCCTCCTATAAATATGCCTGATACAGTTAAAGAAGTTACATTAATATACCGCTCATGGCCAGTTTTATCTTTGATGAGTCATAAAACCTCCTGAGACCGACGAAAACAGGAAGAGCACTAAATTTCCCCAAGCCAGAGTAAAATAGCACAACTTCACTGTCTCATTCAGAGGCCATGGTTTCCTCAAAGAGACATCCAGACATAAAAGGAGCGGCAGGAGCTGCTGAACGCTTATATACTCTGAGTATTTCTCTTTTTTTTTTAATCTAAAAGGGGTTGTCAAAACACAGACCGAGTCCTTATGGCAACGTTGTTTGAACCGTCATGGAGTCCTAATGTCTCTGGATCACACTTTCAACCTTCCCCCTGTTCTTTCCACAGCAAACTGGAGTATTTTTATCTAGGAGTCCTGACAGTGTTGATGTAGAGTTGTAAATAACATGTAGAGTAGTGCAGCGATACACCATCACATACCGCTGTAAGCTTCACATCTGGATCTTGTAATGCAAACTCAAGCCTCCAGTATGTTAAGTGTTTTGGCTATAAATACACTAAGTTATGGTTAAAAAGAAAACAGAAATGACTTTCTGAGCGAATATCTTTTTATTTATTGCGGTATTAATTTGTGAGGACTTTAATCATGATGGATCGTGAGTGGCGTACTGAATTGCCGCGGAGCAGAGTTGGGAGACTGACTCTCAGCGGGGCGCAGGGTTTTTGTGTGATTTTGCACCTGCCCTAAACATGGCCTTCAGATTTATGAGCGTGTATAAAACTCCGCAGCGAGCTGATGGCTTCTTACAAGATCTGCTCTGGATAACAGCTGTGTTTAGGAGGTCAGAGAGCTTCAGCACGTCAAAATTTATGACCGCAGCGATCACCAGCAACGGGGCCAACAAAGCAGCATTTCTAAATATTGTTATAGACCATGAAGAGCAGTTATTTTCTCTCCTATGCTACGTGTTCAGGTCTTTTTCACAGATGTCCGCTTCAGTCAAACTACTATAAAAACCTTATTGTGCCGTTAAAACTAATGCTCTTTAAGTTCTGGAGACGGTTAAATAAAGTTTTAGGTGCAGACTTCTACACAGTCCGCTAACTTTTTTCAGGCTTCATCATTTCCAAATTATACATACATTAACTGAATATTATGCCTCCTTTTCCCTTATCCACTTGCTGATTCTGAACTCTTATCTAATTGAATTTCAACAGAAGCATCTCACTTAATTGTGCTCTCTTTCCCTCTGGGATTAAGCAGTACATCGGGATGAACATTCATAATGAGCAATACACTCAGGTGCACACGTTTCTAATAAGAGCAAAGCGCCAACGCATTCAGTGGACGTCACAGCTCTCCAGCGAGGAATCCTAAATATCCATGAAATAAATGTGCTTCACAAGGAAGCCAAGTTGGCATGAAATTAGTTGCGTTGCGTATAAATTACACCCAGTGAAGCAGTGGAGCTATTTTCAGGTCGATAGCTTGCAATAATTTGTGACAGTGAAGATATTAATAATTTGCTTGTTACAGTCTTTAGTGTTAATTTAATACTCTGGCCATCTCTCACCACCGCAGCTCCTTTTAACACTTAATGTTCGCCTCAGTGAGCAAACAGTTAACACCGACAAACTCTTTTGTGCGGCTTTGATTTATAAAGTTTATTCTGCTAGTTGGGGCAGAAGCAGAGATTTTGCTGACTCGAAATAGTACGCAGACTGGAGCAGTGCTCATGATGAGTAAGCCTGACACCATCTGTGTGCCTGTCAGATGCACTTTTGATAGTGAAGATGGCTGAGCCCGTAAGGACTACCAGCGATTAATCATCGTTGCATCATCAAATCAGTATCTGCAGCTGCAGCTACATTTTTAGACTGTTAAAATCGTATGTGCGGGGCAGGAACATCATACTGAATTCATTACCTGAAGTAGAAGAAGATGGCCAGAGAGATGAGCAGGGAGGCGATGGATAGAGCATGGCCCACAATAGCCATGTAAAACAGGATGTACGCTGACTGTAAAAGAAACACACACAAGATCAGAGATAGCATGTGTGACAATAGTACAAGTTACAATGAAATAACTTACACGTGTTGCATTTTGTGAAAAAGCAAATATCAACGATTTTCATGGCACAGATGCACTCTGTACACAACATTCAGCTTCTCGCATTCGGCACTAAATGATTTTGCTGCTCAGCTAGAAACCTTGCATGTGTTTGCAGCCTGGGTTTTTATATTTATTGCGCCGAGCATCATTTGTAGAATTAAAATGTCCCTATTTACTTTTTAAATAGCAGAAATGCAGAACCCTTACAAGCAATCAGACAGATTTTTAATGATTCTCCAGTTTCTGTTTAACTGTATTAACTTAAACACAATGGAGGAAGAATAACTGAATTACAAAACTGCTTTTTTCAATCAATTTTAAGGAAATTTGTTTGCAAATATCTGACCACTGTCCTCTTTACAAAGTAGGTATATTTTCTGTTAAAATGAAACCTAGAAAAAAAAAAAAAAAAATAATTGTCAATTCTTTTTACAGTTCGGACAAAAAAGTTAAGATGCAGTAATAAAATCATACCACAAAAAGGACTACTTGTGATAAATGATAATGACCAAACAAGAGATCATATCATTTGTTAACGGAAAAATGAAGTAGAACCACACCAGAAAAGGCAAAAGATTAATGAAAGAGTGGAATGAAAGTGATAATAAACTGCTTTTGGTGATACAGGGTCAACAAATCCAATCCTTCAACGGATACCACTACACTAATGTTTATAAATGTCACTCGATAGTGTGAACCTTGTTTGTTGAAGGAAGAATAAGAGGTAGAGTTAATATTGGTTTGGCCATTTGGAATATATTTAACTACAAAAATCACTTGTGTGTGTGTTACTGGTGTCTCCTTTAGCAGAATATTGAAATGAGCTGCGTGGTGTCGCGGTCCAGTGTTGATGTAGGAAATGCTGTTAGCAGCTTGGCACTGCAGCCTGGTGCTGTTAGAGATAAGCAGATTATAAATATGTGATGATGTCCACACAGGGCTGTTAGTAGGGAGACTTGTGCTGGCTGTGTGGTCTGGGGGACACAAGGTTTCGAATAGCTCGATGGTTCTGTTCCAATAAATGCAAAGTCTGTTTGTCCAGAACCTTCCTCTTGTGAGATAAGAACTTAGTCATCTCATTAAAATGCAAATAACAACTGTGCAACCAGCAACCTTTAACCAAACTACACCGTTAGGCCTTCTTTTCTTTCACGCTGCATCCAGCTGCCATGAAATGTTACTTTATATCAGTGTGGGGGAGCAGTGCATCCTGGCAATCTTTATACGTAACTTGATCACAACCGCACATTTCCACTTTCCACATTCACTCCAGTCTGCCCCCCAGCACAAAAGATGCAATTATGCTGACCCATCACACTGTGGCCACCGTGCAGCAGTTTTATGATGGATACTTTATCTTAAAGAAAATTACCTTCAGCTTCGCCTGAGTGTTTTCATTGCAGAGTGTGTAGTTGGACCAAGTCCTGTTGGTGTCTGGGTGGCGAAACCACTGCCCATCCTCTCCGCAATACTTAGTCGCCTTTTCTGGAAAGAAATAATCACGCAATAAATCTATTTCTTCAACTCAGCAGACCCTTTTAAAGAGACTCCTGAGTTTCTTTGTTTACCTGTGGGGTCGAAGTCATCGAAATAGTTTGGGCAGTTTTGGGAGGTGTAAGTTCCAGCCGGAGTGTCGTCCCAACACAACCAGCCGTCCCAGTTACGACTGCAGTACAGCCCTGCAGAAACCGACAAAAAGCCACGAGGAGAGTTTAACATTCAGAGAGGAGAGGCGCCAATAGAAGAAAGCCACAATGAGCCCCAGCAGATTTTATCGCTACCTGATTTGTTATAAGGTGAATCTCTATTCATTTTCTCGAAGCACTTGTATTGGCTGTCGAGGATTTTTTTCCTCACTCTTTCCTGCTCCTCCCGATTCACCAGGGGACTGACCGTAGCCTCGTTCGTGGACTCGACCTCGGCGTCCCTGGAGAACTGGGCGGCTGCCTTCATCACACACACACACACAGAGTTGTGATGAGCCAAAGTAAACCATGAGTCAGGAGGCTCAAAGCGTTGCATAATCGTGTCACAGTGAGAAATGAGTCGTGCTTTCCGCAATAATGGCGACCTAACAGATGAATTGCTTTGCAAATTGCTGCTTTATTAACGCAGTCACTACTTGAATTAAGGCTTGCTGACAGGGATCTGCGACTTGACGACAGATATTATTGTTACAGTACTCTGTTACCACTAAACCCCCGGCTCCATGTTGAAGAATAAATAATACATTACCTTCAGCCTCTCCTTCGTGTTGACAGCACAGAGTGTGTAGTTGGTCCAGGTCATGTTGCTCTCTGGATGGCGGAACCACTGCCCGTCCTCTCCACAGTACTTAGTCGCCTTTTCTAAAAAAGAACAATTACACAATAAACATATATCACTGCAGTACAATGTAAAACTCTAGTGTAGTTCATTTTTTTTACTTTAATAATACATCCATTATCTATTCCATTATCTACACACCGCCCAATCCTCATTAGGGTCGCGGGGGGGCTGGAGTCTATCCCAGCCGACTTAGGGCGAAGGCAGGGGACACCCTGGACAGGTCACCAGTCCGCCACAGGGCCACACCCAGAGACAGACAACCAAGCACACTCACATTCACACCTATGGACAATTTAGAATCACCAATTAACCTCAACATGTTTTTGGACTGTGTGGACCCGTAGAGAACCAACGCTGCACGGGGAGAACATGCAAACTCGACGCAGAAAGATTCCGGTGCCCCCACCGGGACACGAACCGGCAACCTTTTTGCTGCGAGGCAACAGTTTTAATAATACAAATAACAGAAAATCCAATGGGGGCAAACAGGATTTCAGCACAATCATGTTACTCACCGGTGGAGTCGAGGTCCGACAGAAAATCGGGGCAGTTCTGAGAGGCCAAGGTTCCCGCCGGAGTATCGTCCCAGCACAGCCAGCCGTCCCAGGTGTGGCTACAGTGCAGGTCTGTAGCACCAATAAAGCCACAAAAACATCATAGCATATATGTTTGCAGGTCTTGTTTACAGAGAAACCACATCACAGTCTCATATACCTGTGGTAGAGGGAGTGCTCAGATGTTAGATGTTAATGTCATTGAGTAAAAATACTCTCTTCTGCATGCATTCAGATTTTTATTTAAGTAAATGTACAAAAGTCTCAGCAGCAGAATTATACCTAAAGACCCTCAAGTGAAAGTACTTAGAATGCAAACTGACCTCAGGTTGAGAATAATGTGTATTATAATATTGGATTAGAATTAATAATGCAGTCACATGTTCATTACTTTATTTTTGCAGCTGGTAAAGGTGAAGCTGATGTATTGAGTTTATTTCCTGCCGTGTAGTTTGTCGTAAAGTTTCACTCGAGCCTCTGAACTTCTGAGCAGTTTCTCGGTGTGTTTTTGTTCCCGTCACATCTGTCACTGACTGTGGGCTCATTTTTCACAGTAATATAAAGTCTTGCACCTCTATGGAAACAGCACTACCATGTATAGAAGCAGAGAGAAGTCAAACATCGTCGCTCCTGCAGTTACAAAGTCATAAATCACAACGGAGTAAAAAAAGAAACTTGGATTTCTTTGATTAATTGTTTCACAAAAACTAAATAAACCTGGAATCAACATGTACAACTGGAGGTGTTACTAATACCAGAAGAAAATGGTCACTCTTCATATTATAGATATGTTACTGCTTACATTTTTTCTTCTTTTTATACTTCTCTACTATCTGCTCTGTGCAGTTCAGCCCAGTTTAGACAAAAAGTCCCACAATTTTTGGTGACAGCTGAGTATCAATGGCTTCAGAAGCATGAGAAGTATCTGGTTAACATGATTGTTTTAATAATTTTTGTCAATTTATTTACTTTAAGATGACATGCCTTCAAATCCGCAGTGAGGTTCACAAGATTAATATACTGACGAAACATCACTGTGATCTTTCCAGCAATAATACATCATTATATGTTGATTATGTTTTGTATTATTAATCTGAATTTGCGAAGTAACTATTTATAAAAGTTATCAAATTATTGCAGCGGAGTGAAAAGAACAACATTTGCCTCTGAATTTTAGTGGCACAAACCACAAAATGAAAGTACTCAAGTTTTTGTGATTGTGATTAAGTACGGTACTTGAGTAAATGTATTTAGTTACTTTATACCGCTGTCAGAAAAAAACAATAGAAGCATTCATTCAAAAGACAGAATCAGTTTACCTTCTTTGTTAAAAGGTGGGTCCTGGGTTTTTTTCAGACATTTGTATTCATTCTCGAGCATCTTCAGCTTCTGTGGGGGGAAAAAATCAAAGTTTCAACATTACAAAAAGCTGTACAGACAAACTGTGGAGTGACGAGAAGTGTAGCTTAACCATCACCACATGTCCTTTATCTGCATGATAAATACACATCAAACTGTTTATTACATTAACACGAAAACTTGTGTTTTTGCTCAATAGCGGAAAAAAACAATTCAACTGTTTGCATCACTCTTTTTGAGTTAGGACGACTTTCAATGGATTTATGTTCAACTCTACAATCAAAGGTATTTTTAATTTCCATGTTTTAACCATCTGAAATTGTCCTTTCATTATAAGGTAGAGGAGGGGATTTGAACTCCTTAACTCAGCATGAAGAAACATTATCAAAACTACTTTATTAAGTTACCTCAACTTCTGATTAGTTTTACATCAACTAATGTAGAAATTTGAGTTCATGTAGTTACCAACATTACTATGTGAACTCAACCCTTTAAAATCATGTTTGCAATTTTTTTCAATTTATATTTTTATCTTGCAACCATGCATTTAATCAAGTAGTGAGAATAAGTCCTGTGAAATGTTTTTAGAGTGTACATTACCCTCAGCCTCTTCTCATGGGTGGTTGGACAGAGTGTGTAGTTGGTCCAAATCTTGTTGCTCTCTGGATGGTGAAACCACTGGCCGTCTGCTCCACAGTATTTAGTGGCCTTTTCTGTAAAGAATGATTAGGTAATGAAGTCCACTGTCTTAAAATACAGTCAAAAAATCGTATGGTGACATTGGTTCTCTGAGTGAAGAGACTATCTGTCCATACAAATGGGGTATGACTCCCCTGCTCGTCAGGGTCATGCCCACAGGTTATCTATAAAGCACCTCTGATGGCGTGGATTCACTGATAGTTTTGATCAAAACGAGTGTCAGAGCGGCCAAAAGTGTTTGAAAGATGGTCTCTTCACTCAGAGAACCAAGTTTAAAATTTAACCTTACGTTCTCTATGGTCTCGAGACTATTTCTCCACCCAGTTATGTTATAGATGTACAGGGTAACTCTTTAAGACACTCTGTGAGGAGCCGGTGCATACCAAGCCACATGTACATGACAAACAAACTATTTGCAAATGAACACTTATTTACATACCAACCAGGCTAAGGACCTGCACAATGTAAAGACCAGGCCTTAGAAGCAGAAGGGCTGCTTAGGCCAGTCCGCAAGATATAAGACCGACCCCGGGGACACTGCTAAAGGCCAAGATGAAATGGCCAAACTTGTGAACAACGTGACCACTCAGATCAACCATCAAGCTGCTAAGCTGACCATGGGAGGCAATGGAGGTGGACAGAGGCCAGGCCCAGCTATCCACCGATAAGTCACACCCAGCACCCACTTCAAAAGAGGGCCTAGCTGCTATATTCATTTAATGGATCTGAGATAAAAGTGGACTGAGATGATTGTGTGGCTGCTGCACATGTGGCAATGACAGAGGCTCCCCACCATGGGACCCACATGGTAGCCACACCACAGGGTGAATGTGCTCAGACCCAGGATGACTGGTACACCTGAGGAAACACATCTGCTGAATGGTGTCCACAATCCAGCAGGACAGACGAGACTTCAACAAAGGTCTGTCCAAATTACTGGATTCAAAGCAGATGAAGAGCTGGTAAGTCTGTGGACAGCCTGTCTGCACTGGATGTGCTCCACCAAAGCCCAGATAGGGTATTGCAAACAGGTGCTGGTCCGCCTGGTCTTCTCTGGAAGAAGCCAGTGGCCACAGCTCAACCGACTGAGACAGGTGGAAATTATATGAAGCCTTATGCAGGAACATCAGGATGGGACGAAGGACTACACCTAACCTCTCTGGCAATAACCTGTCACCATTGGCTTGGCAGAGGTGGTGGCCAGCAGAAATACAGTTCTACGGAAACCCCTTTTCAGTAACAAGAGCGAAAAGAGGGGGATGCTGAAGGCCATTACGGACTAACCCCAAGATCCATGGAGGGACCAGGATCTAATCCTGTGTGGCCACTAGACTTCACAGGGTAGAGGCAGACTTCCCTGTCTCAAGCTAGAACAGTCTGAACAGCAGGAGTCACTGGGCTGTGCTGAGTAGGGAATCACCCGTATTCAGAGTTGTTTGCGACTCTAAGTAAGCTGAAGAGAGCGTGAACCCTCTGCCACAGTGATGTTGTCAGCCTGCCAATTGATAGGTGTTGTAGTCACTGCCATCTTTCCTGGCAATAATGTGCTGACCTCACAGTCTGCCATTAGACCCTTGAGCAAAGACAGAGACCTGAATTAGCCTAAGAATGTAGCCAGAAGAGACTGATGCAGGATTAGAGGATCTGTCCCCTTTCTGGAGTCAGGGAAGAACCAAGTTCAGAAATGTTGTCACCTAGGGCTGCCACGGACCAAACTTTATAATATCAAACTGCTGCCCCGAGCCTCGTATGTGTTCCAAGAGGACATCCATCTGACAGCGGCATCACTCCTGAGCCCATGCAGGCCAGCTGAGGAAGGGGGTAGACGCTGTCAGCTGTCCCAGTCTGAACTTGTCACAGATTACCGCTGAGGGCCGTAGCTGCTCCGGGAAGCAACCCGCTCCTGGGGCGTTTGTTTAGGTGTCTGCAGAGCAATGCTGGCTCAGCTGGAGTAATATATTCGCACCCACTGTTAGTTGACAGAAAGGTTAAGGGTCCCACCAAGCGTATTAGCTCCATGAGCAATACACCATGCAGGAAAACAGCTCTTGCCATATTTTGTCACTGTTTTCGCTCTGTGACGTGCAGAAAAATGGGGCAACCTGGACTTCTCTGGTACATGTAGGCATTGTGGACCAGTCCATGCAAGACTGTGGGCTCTCTCTGGATAATAGTGCACACTGGTGACCTAAATACACCTATCATGGGCTGTGTCTGAAATCCTCCACTCACTCCTTACTCCCTATATAGGGACCACGATATAGTGAACTATGTAGGGAGCACCTTGGTAAAGTAACATTTCAGACACTACTCAAGCTATTATTTGCGTTGCTCGTTAGCCACAATTTGTGCCGCAGCAGCGTCGTGCAAACGCATCAAATTCACAGTTTATTACGTAGCTAAGAAACGGGTAACATAAAATTAAAAACATAGACAGGAAATTACATACATTTTAATGACATGTTGTCGCGCTCTCGTTAGTCTAATTTGCATTTTATTTCGCGCAATGCATGATGGTCCATATTGCTTGGTTAGTGACCATCGGCTGTGCGGTACCTTTTACGGTGCATTGAGGGACATTTTGAGTGCACTACATACCTGTAACATACCTATACACGTACATAACTATACAGGGTATAGTGGGTGATTTCGGACACAGCCACTGTCATCATCCAAACCATGGGAATTTACGACCCACACAAAAAATGTCCCTGGTGGGTTGCCATAGTTGAAAATCGCACCTTCACACCTTTCCAGGGGGCGGGGCCTGGCAGCGACGTGGAGGTGAAAACTTGCTTGTTTACAACCAACTGTGTGGGAATTCAGTTGGCTTCATGCTGCGTTAACTCTACTGAGGGAGCTGCCGAAACCAAGGAGGCACTCTGGGACTCAGAGAACCGGGATCGCATGGACAGGTTCAGGAGAGAGAGAGGAAGAGAGGAGACATCCGCTGGTAGCCGACGTGATGCTCAGCGCGCACCACTGACTGATCACCGCAGCATCCGGAGAGATGAGTCACGGATGGAGGAAAGTTTCCTCACCCACCGATGAGCTGACCGGGAAGTCGGCGCTCAGCAGGGATCCCGCCCAGCAATGCGCCGGTAAAGAATCTGAGTCGTGACGAAGGCCGGATGCCGGCTCGGCTGGACCGGAACAGACTTCCACCAGCTGTGAACGTTAAGTCTGCGCTCAGCATGGATCCAGCGCGTCAGCTGCACCCCCGCAATGCACTGGTATTTGAGATTACAGCCACAGGAGGCTGAATACATCTAACAACACCTGAACAGGGAAACAGCAATCTGGGGAGGCTGCCCGCAGACAGACGCCCGAACCTCAACAGGCAAACAGATACATCCTGTATCCCACACACAAACAGAACATCTTTAAGCTTTTATGGTGCAAGTGACCATGTTTGGTAACTTCCTTGGACGTTCAATATGTCCACCCTGTGCCTCTCCTTGAGGTTGAAGAACCATGAGCACTTTGATTTAGTTTTTATATTAGTGCCAATATCACTACCTTACGAAAAATATCACGAAACAAATGTTCCAGGCACTTTGTAAGCGCCTTGCTACTGGTTTGCATTGAACTCCACTTTGATTTATTTTTTGAGATTAGTGCCAACACCATTACCACAAGAAGAAGGTAACTAAATGAACTTGCCAAACACTTTTACTTTAAGTTACCATGTATCGCAATTTTATTCATCTTGATTTGCAACAAGTCACAAAAGTAAAAATATCTTGAAATGTCCGTTAATAACACCCTAGAGTTGAAATTTTCATTTTCCAAGTATTTGAAGGAGTGCCCTATAAAGGGTTAAACTAGTACAGATTGTCACACTGCATGAATGGAGATCAAACAATCAGTGAATTCACACCAACACGATGCTTTATATGTAACCTGTGAGGCGTGATCGGGCAAGCTGGTGTGTTTTAAAGGAGTCTCCAGTACCCTGACTAGCAGGAGGTCATTCCCTGTAAATATGAAATATGTAACTGGGTAGGGTGACCAAACGTCCTGTTGTCCCAGGCCGTCCTGGTTGATTTTCTTTATAAAATGATAAAAATGTTCTGGTCCTGTTCTGGAGGAGGCATACTTGAAATGTATTGAAATTATAAGGCATCTTTGAGTAAACTTCAAGTATCATTTGAGTATCTCATTGCCGGGCCGAGTGTCCCGCTTTAGGAAAATATGGTCACCCTATAACTGGGTGGAGAGATGATGGCGATCAATCGATGCACTCCCACGTAACAAACAAGATACCAGTAGAGCCTCTTAAACCTCACCGCTCACCTGTGGGGTCAAAGTCGACAAAATAATCAGGGCAGTTTTGGGAAGCGAAGGTTTCCGCTGGAGTGTCGTCCCAGCACAGCCAGCCGTCCCAGTTACGACCACAGTACAAACCTGCACATAAAAAAAAATAAAAAACATGTTCAGGCTTCTTGTTTGCATGTTTCTATCATATAGGAAACATTGGCATAAAAAAGCCCAATAATTGGTCGACAAATGGAGTTCTATGGTGCATTTCAGTGTCAGTACCAGACTTATTAAAAGGTGCATCAGTCTTCATTTTCTCTCTGCATTTCTTCTCATTTTCGAGGATAATTTTTTCTGCGTTAACCTCTGTGGCCTCTGTGGTGTGCTCTCTTGCAGCATCCCTTAAAAAATCAGGGATTTCCTTCTGAAAATAAAAATGAAAGATTAACTTATTAGTGTATATAGAAACCAATACAAGCTTTGTTTTGTTCCGCCAAAGGAAACCAACCAGTGAACACAGACCTCTGATTTGTCCTTTAAAGCTGCTCGACAGGTAGAGCCAGTCTGGACCCAGTTACCTGATATGTCACAATATTTGGTCACTTTTTCTGTGGAGAAAAAAAGAAAGAAGAAAAAGACACATTGGCAAGTTGACAACAGCATAATCCATCAATAACCGTCCTGAAAGTTTCATATATGATATTAAATTACTTCCAGGCACAGATTACTGCTTCTGTTTATTTAGTAGAGAGTTCAGCAGAGAATCTTTGTGTTCTTTGGCTTTGTCTTTCAGCAGTAGTATGTTGGCATAATCCAAACGCATAAATCGGACCCTGAGTCTTGGCATTTCCAAACAACGGCGATTAATTTTACTTGGCACACGACGTTAAAAGTAATGTCAAACTGAAATTTCCACCTTTTTTTTCTGGCAAATTCTCAAATGTCAGACTTAAAACCACATGTACTGGAGGAGCCACGACTGGGCTAAGAATGAGATCGCATCGCTCCCGACAACAACAACTGTAGGCCCGACTGCTTAGCCCTCTCTGACAGCTCATCAACTGCTCAACAACCACCTCCAGCTGTACGTCTCCCCCCCGAGGCCTCATAGCAGCAGCAGCAGCAGCTTTTAAAGGAGCCATAGGGGGACTTTAAGCGTCGCAGGCATTTTGGGGAAGATCCTTTATGATCCATCTCTAACAAAAACACCTTCCCCATCCATCTCTCTGACTCCAACTTCCCCGCATTTTTAATTTTTTCTCTTTTCCCCTCCACATACTCCTCATTCATCTCTCTGTCCTCTCCCTCACCTCCCCTCTCTTCATCATATTGCATCTCCTAAATCAGACACGACTTGACTCTGGATTTCTTCAACTAGACATTGCTGAGAGTTGCATTACTCACAATGTAAAAACTGCACATACTGTGGAAAATAGTTATGCGGCAGTCCAAAAATTAAGTGTACTTACATAATCGAAGCCCACGGTCACTTTCGATGCTAATAAATGTCTGTTTTCATTTTCCTCTGGCTGAGGTAATAGTCAGAGAAAATCATTTACCTTTTATCTCATGTACGAAGCTTGTCTTTGCCTTCATGCTGATGCTGCAGCTGGAATGTTTACCATGTTCTTATAGTAACACTAATCACAAATTACAGCTGAGTCTTTAGTTTTGGCTTTGGATTGCTGTAAATGAAAAGTCAAAGCCTACGCAGGTCGTATGGAGAACCAGATTTTACCGCAGCTACTCCGGTAATTTTTGAGACATTTCACTAAAGACCAAAATTGTTAACCTGGTGACACCGAAGAAAAAGTTGAGCTACATTAAGCTACATTTCCTCAGACGTTTAGTGCCTGTCAATCCAGTGAAGGCATTTCACTGGATTGGAAGTGAAAGTTTTGACATGCTGGTTGTGCTGCATTAAGCCATAAGGATTTATCTACTGAGCCAACCCTGTCTTCCAAAAATTGAAGTCCTATACAACTAAACTGCATTCTCTGTCATTTCATAAAAGAAATATATTTTCTGACAGAAAGTTAACGGTATGACCGAGTGGGAAACCTTTCCACAGCCACAAAGGTGTTAATTATGGTATAAACTGTCAGTGGACAGACACCAAGACTAAACTGTACGAGGTGTTTCAGAAAAGTTTCAGGACTGGTGTCACAAAAGATATATTTCAAAGCCAAACTACAAACTACAAGTTTTCCCCTTTGAGTGATCCCCCTGGAGTGTAACGCGCCTTCTCTGCCACGCCGCCATGCACTCCTGGAAGATTTCTTCCAAGATCCTTTGCAGCTCCATCGTCACAGCCATCTTGATGTTGTCCATGGCTTCAAAACGGTTCCCCTTGATGACCCCCTTGAGCTTGAGGAAGAGGACACACAGAGCCAGGTGGGGTGAGGAGGGAGGTTGCTCCAGCACAACAATGTTCTTCTCAGCCAGAAACTGTTGGATGCTCAAGGTGTTGTCATGGTGAAGCAGCCATGACTTGTCCTGCCACAACTCTGGCCTCTTCTCTGAATGACGCAAATGGCGCAGGATCTCTTTGTAGACGTGATGGTTGATCGTCTCCTAGTTTGTAGTTTGGGTTCGAAATATTTCTTTTGTGACACCACTCCTGGAATATTTCTGACACACCTCCTAAGTACCTGATAAGTGGCGTTGTAAAAACACCTTCCTCTGTTGGTTCCAGTTTAACGTAGATGGACTAAAAGGGACCTGTCTTTGGTTCAGTGGCTACTCCTGTGCCTTCACTAGTGTCGGTTCTGCTCTGTGACTTCTGACAGTGGAGCCAAAGCATAAGCTGTTGGAGATGAGTTTATGTTTTCTGTATCTCATGTTGAAATTGAGGTGGTTCCTGTATTCCTAGAGAGCAGAGTTACCTCGGTATCTTGTAATACTCCTGCATCATCCAAAAGGTGTTCACCACAAAGTGTGAAACAACATGTCGGTGTAGATCCTGAGTCAACCAGGTCAAGACTACCTGAGCCTTATCAGGTACTTATTATGCAGTCTTGAGATCTCTTCACAGAAAGTCTCACCAACATTAACACCGTGAGTCATCCCTAACCTGGCAAGTTCACAAGCATTCACACCTCAAGGCATCTTGGGTTAATGTGCTTGTAGCTGTGGGATTTAAGGGTGACAAAATATATGTGGGACTGACTGATGGGGTCAGTCAGTCAGAACTGAGGAAGTCTCCTGGATGAGAGGTGTAATGTCCTGAAAGCCAACTGCCTTTTACTAAAGCACTTCGGATTAGCCAGTTACTATGAAGCCTGAACGATTTAGACGATGATAAGCAGCTAATGCGAGTGTTGCCTCACTGCTGTGTTTAAGCTAACGCAATACTTCTGTTTCAAAGTGAGCAGATTCATGACATTAAGTGAATTTCTGTTATGATCTTATATTACTGTTGCTACCATTTGTGCATCTCTTGACTTATGAGGTGTTACAAAGCTCTACATGCAGCCTCAGTGAACCATCTTTCCTCTCACTGTCTCCACCACACACACACACACACACACACGTTTACCTCATTTCCATGTGTTTCCTGCTGATTTTAAAAGTTATGCAGAAAACCCACTCAGATTCCTACAAATCTCACTTCAGCCAAGTTAATGATAAAAAGTTCAAAACCTCCTTACCGGTGGATTCCAGGTCAGGCTGATCTGGACAGGTTTGTGTTACAGACGTCCCAGCTGGTGTCTCATCCCAGCACAACAAACCATCCCACATATGACCACAGAACACACCTTCAGACAGGAAACACAGAGAAGCAAAGTGACTAAACACACTTTTAACTGTCTACAGATGAATCAAATAATTCCTCGACACGATTATAACCTTCAGCGTCCGCTTAAAAATCCATGTTAAGTCAGTCGTGCTTGAACCACTGCTGGCAACACCGCCATTATCTTTAACAAGAGCGTCAGCAGTATTCTTATCCCGCTTACAAGCTCACTACATCTCCCAGAGGTAATCGATTTGGCTTTAAGAAGGCTGAAAATAATTCGGGCCTCTCACCGGTACTGTTTTCTTGTTGATCTTTGTTGGACAGCTCAAGACATTTGTATTGACCCTGGCTCATCGCCTGCTCGCTCTGCCCCTCTGTAATGCCCTGTCCGGGCCTGAGCGATGGCTTTGAGATTGGCTCAGTGCCTGCTGCTGCCTTGCGCTGTGGAGACAACACGATGTTAAGAGTTGAGAGGAGGAAGCACAAAAGCATGTAAGTGTAGCACAGAGTGTTACTGTGTGTGTTTTGTGGTTGCTGCTCTGATTTAGATTCCCTTAATAAGTGTAAATGTTAACTTAAATGGGAAGCTTAGCTAAAATTGCTCACAATTTTATCGTGCTTAGATACAGATATGCGTAAAAAAAATCTGAATGGAAGAATGCAAAACTTCTGGAGCATCTTCAAAGCTGATCTGATGAAGATTTCACCCGCAATTCGTTTAACTCGTTAAAGCGGGAGCTCACAAAAGAAGCTAAGGAGCCGATTTTCTCCAAATGAATCCTATCGCCGCTCTATTGTTTGTATTTAGAGGTAGCATTAAACCGATGAAGCCCGCTGTGTGAAATGCTGATTCTGATAATGCTGCTCTCTGAAGGATAAAGAGTCCATTTCGCTGGGACTTATCTTCCTCTTTTTTTTTTGGATGAAAATGAAACCTTTTCGGAGTGCCAGGCTCACACACTTGCATTTTCTGAAGTATCTGAGGAATTTTAATGCATTGCCTGGGAGATTGGGTCCACACGCCTTATCGCAATTGAGATGCTCACCCACATTCCTCCGACTCTTTGTAGAGGAATTCTCCACTAGATATCAAAAATATCACTCTTACCTGCCCAATATAAGCAAGTAAAAGAAAAAAAAAGTGATTTCTGTGAGAACGCTGATGTCCCATGTAGCAGTTTAGCAGCCGTACATATGATGTCACTCCAAGCATTGAAGTAAATGACGTCATACATACGACCACCAGGCCACCACCAATATCAACAGCAGAGCTCATTGAGGGAAAAAAAAAAAAAAAGGATCTTCTGGTTTTCTCCAAAACCTCACATCGTCCCCACCTCATCTCACAAGATAGATAGAAGCACAGAGGCACTGATAGTTTATCAGTTTGCAAAAATGCCTCAATGATGACGTTGAACAGCGAAGGAGACTGAAACTTACATTCCACAGTGACACTGAAAAACGGTAAAGCAAATGTTTTCTTCTCATAAGGTCCAGTGAGTCATGACTGAAAAACTTTCTAAAACTCAGTCGGTTAATGAGCTTCTGGAAGTTTAGAGCCTCGTGTCATGAGTGCTATTCATCATAAGGGACTTCATTAAAGCGGTCGCTGTAATTTGTAAGGAGAACCATCAGGAGCGACATCAGTTTAAAGTTCGATTAGTTTAATTGTTATACCTTCAGCAGGCAATTCAGTGTACATTCAAATGACAGAAAACGGCGCCACAATGCGTCGCCCCTGAGTGATTCATCTGAGGCGTCACAGTTGTGTTATGATCTTTGACTGATGAAAACTGCAGCCCCATTAAGCTAATTGATGCCATTTCTCAATCACTGGAGCACATTGTAATTATGACTCAACCCTCTAAGTTGTAATGAAATCAGATCATGGGCTCGAGAAGAGCCTCCGATTGAGGGTCACGATCTTTATTAAAATCTTTATGCTGGAGGCTACTGATGAGATGCAAAACAATGGGAAGCTTAATGCCAAATGTATTGTATGCATGAACATATAAGAGGGTTTGAATGTACCACGGTGTAGCTGTTGTGATCAGTACAAAGTGCAAATCCCAGTAAAACCTTACACGGGTACATAGAGTTTGTATGAGCTGAATTTGTTCTGCTAAGGTACACATGTTCTACTCTCGGTTTACTCTTTTTTGGTGACAAAATGAAGGAGAAAAACCAACATAGTGTCTTAGCAAGGTGTTGGGCCACCATGTCCTGCCAGAACAGCTTCAGTGTTCCTTGGCATTGATTCTCCAGGTCCCTGGAACTCTACTGGAGGGATGAAACATCATTTCTCCCAAATACATTCTCTCATTTGGTGTTTTAATGATGGTGGTAGAGAGTGGTGACTGACATGTCGGTTCGAAACCTCCCATAGGTGTTCAACTGGATTAATATCTGGTGCATGCAAAGGCACATTTTTTTATAGTCATCAAAGCATTCAGGTTGCCCTCGTCCAGAAGACACCACTTCTATCAGGATAGAAATGTCCTATCATTGGATATTGTATTGATTTGCAGTGACACTTCCCTCTAAGGGGACAAATGGAACCAAACCATGACAGGAATATGACCCTTATCAGCTTAACACAGTCACTAGATCCCAGTTCAACAGAAATATTAATAAAACAACAACAACAAGCAAACAAGCATGATGAGACCTGTTGACAGGTATTTTGATTTTGACCCACTGCTCATCAGCAAAGTGCTCTAAATTGTCTAGGACATTTTTTTTTTTTTTAAATGACTCTTTTCAACCACAATTCAAAAGCAATGTCTTATTTCACTAAATTGTAATTTAGCAAATTTTTACTTATTATTACTTTTTTCAGCTTCTGGTTATTGAAGTGGGAATTTTGCCTTTTCTTTAATGGAAGGGGATGAATAAAGTTGAGGATGACTGTATGTGAATCTAATCATATTGGTTAGCATTGGTGTCCCTTTTCCTCTATGACTTGCAATGAAGTGACAGAAGTGTGATCCTTCTCCGTAGTGCAGCAACATGCATAGTAAGACCCTCTACAACTGCACAGTGACGTATTACAGGAGCAGAATTTCCCTTTTGTATTCAGAGCTCAGCACGCAGTGATCGTCTGCATAAAAGTGTAAGGACACAGTGAGAAGGTGGCACAAAGAAACACAGTCATGGATGATTTATCTTTTACCAAACAAGCTGAGCTAATTATAAACTATAATTTGCAAAAGTGAAAATTAGTCCTGAGAGTTAGAGATTTTCGCTGATTAAAGAAAACCACTAGACCACGAGATATTACAAGTCCATTTAATGAAAACTGATTCCCATGTACAGCATATATAATGAAGAAAAAAGAGGAGAGAAACAGGGCCTTTAGACATTTACCCTTACAGCACATCCTTTCTGTGAATAAATAAGTGAGAGCTTACCACCAGTAGAAACCAAAAGATCCAAAAGGAGTCGGCTAACCTCATATCTTCCTCTCACAGGCAAATCTCTGGGGAGAGAAGAGAACAACAAGGTAAACCTATCAGAATAAAATAATTTGTCTACCGTGAAAGTGACTGGGTAAACAAACATTTGGTTGTTTCAAATCAGGATTACGGCTTCTCGGGAGAAAAGCAGCCACGGCAATCATTCATCTGAAATGCAAAACACTGCAGCAGAAGCACTGCGGGTTTGTGACATTTCACACTCCTCTGCTTTGTGTGTGTCTGAGAGATAACGAGAACGTGCGCTCATCAATTTGCGGAACAATAGCATGAAGCAGTAATGTTACATTATGCGAGCGAAACGGATGAAGAAAAACAAGAGTCGGACGAAAATAGTTGGCGGTCATTAATCAGTGAGCCTCCACTCCTGCAGGAGAAGATGGGCCAGGTTAGTAACTGAGTGAGATTAGAATCAGCTCTCTTTGCTTTGGCTTGTGGAGTCCTTGTTGGAAGCCCATCACTCCACAGTTTGAACAGTCAGGACGACCTACTGGTTGTCCTCCACACCTCGCGGCGGCCCGGGGGGCAGCTGATAGATACGCATGAGCGAGGCCTATAAGTCACAGTGAAAGGTTAGAAGGATTAATAGTGTTTGTCTTGGCTTCAGAGACAACACTGATGGTAGGCTACTTAGCTGTAGGATGACAAATAAACCCACATCTGCCAAGAGTTTAAAGCGAGGATCTATGACGAGGGATCCCTTGAAGACGGCCCAACTTTCCGCTTTGTTTCTCGTGCTCTCCTAAATACAAACTGCTCAGGTAGATACTGTGGTAGATATAAGACCCTCACATGTCCTAAATCTAAACTAAAGGCATTTCTACAATCTTACTCCAAGGCCCAAATATAGAATGAAACATCTGCATGTGGTTCATTAAAGCTGAAAAGATAAGTCTGTTATCTGAATAATCAACTGACAAAAATCTGGCAGCAAGAGTTGGACAAAAGAAACAGAATATAGCAAAATGTGTCATTTAACAAACAGGAATAATCAACAATTGCAGTTAAAAACTGGCTTTTTTTATAAACAGTGTTTTTATTAACAATAAGGTAACATTATTTTTAAAGCAAAACATGGCAAACATGACTTTTTGTAGCCCCGACATCGTGATGGTTTGAGGCTTTTCTTTTTGACTACATGAGAGTAGAGTACATATCTTTGGGTTGTTCACTGGTAGTACACTGGGGCAATTTTGAAGTACTTTCTGAAGATTTATTTATTATGATTGTGAAATTGAGAACATAATCATCCGATTGATCTGTAATGAAAAAAATAATTTTGCAGGTATAAAAAATTCAAAAACAACACGCTAAAAGAAACTTGACAAGACCACAAAAAAGCGAACCCAAATGCACGACTCCAAAACTCAAAAATGTTCTCAAACTGATTTATTTTACAAAAGTATCAACAGAAATATCATTCAACAATAAAAAACCTAAACTCAAAGCGTCACTCTAACGAGGAGAATAAAGAACCAAAAAAATCACTCGATTGAGGAAATACAAACTAAAAATCACTCAATGAGGAAAAACTTAACAATCTTTCTAAACAAAGTAACAACTCAAACACTTGATTGGGAAAGAGGCTGAATACAAAGTAGCAAACAAAATACAAAACCTGAAGGAAGTTTCCACAAGTGACATGAACGGGGAAATCCTGGACATGAAGAGAGCTGAAGCTTGACTCAATGACAAGACGAACTGGCACAGGACAAAGGGAGACGCAGACTATATATACAAACACAAGGTAATGAGGAACAGGTGGAGACAATCAGGGCTGGGTAGACAATCAGACACAGGAAACACCGGGGAGAGGGCAAGCGTCCTGAAACACGAGGGCAAAGGTTTCAAAATAAAAGCCACGAGACAACACAAATACAAGACAAAAAACTAAATAAAACCTAACACCTGGTACGAGACATGACAAAACTAACTAGAGCAGACATGGTGCTCTAATATATCCAAAACAATATAATATAGGTTTAAAATGAACAATACATTGTACTGATGATGGTCACAGTATTTCTTCAAAGAAGATTTAGTGCAAGCCACAGCTGAATCTAAGAAACATAAATAAAATTAATTTAATTCTAATAAATTTGAAATTGGTGGCCATGTTTTAAAGACACAAAATGTTGAGGAAAAAAAAGGACTAATGACTTAAGCAACTAATAATAACCGTCATATTCTATATAGAGCCCAAAGGTGGAGACTTCAAATGTCTTGTTTAGGCTAAGATTTTTTTTCAATTTCTAATAAAAATCTTTGGTATTTCCCTTAGAAAATGACTGGAACAACCCTAACTTGAATATTAAATTAGTTTTAATGTTAAATTTGAGCAACTCTGACTCTTAAGCGTTTTTAAGCCCAGTCCTTAACTCTGCTCCATTTTTTATAGTACAACACACTAGAATTTACTGGACATCTTTCTGGATCCAGCATGCTGAAAAGCTCTGTGAAGGTCGCAGTGACAAACCGCTTTACACCTCTGCTTTGAAAAGAAGCAGCGAAGGAATACAAAGAAGCACACAAAAACACCAATCAAGGGCAAAAGGGATAAGAGAAGAGTGGCGAGGGAGAAGTATGGATCCCAAAATTGCCTGGAGGAAGAGAAGATCTATAAAAGCCATCATGATGCCAGCGCACATCAGTCAATTATCAGCTAATCACCTCTGGGTGCCCACGATCATGTGAATTTGTCTAAAAGTGAAATAATTGTGATATTCTCTGATGCTACAGTCAAGTAGAGACACGCCAGAGCAGTCAGCATCACTGACTTCACACAGACTAGGAACATCATTTCAAAGATATTGACTGTGACTGCCTGACTGACTGTGCAGTTGTTTCACTGAAATAAAGGTGAAAACGTCTGGAAAAATATCCTGACAAAAAAAAAAAAAGATCATTTGACTGAAAAGCATATTATTATTTGCAAAGAACAAAGTTTATTGGCTTCATCGCTTCATGAAGCCTTGACATCACCGTGAGCGCAGCATCGGATTTATCGTACAGATATCATTGTATTACAGCATTTTACCATCTAACAGTTCTTTCTAGTCACAAGGAACATTTCAGATATCCACAGTGACATTCTTCTTATTCTCAGTTGTCATGTCAGATCGCCACACTGTCGCTCGTCTAAGGACAAATGATATCACTTCTACAATTCATGTCTCCGAGGTTTATCTTTACAGACATCCACAATTCCCATTGCAGATATCCACAGTCATACGTCTAGTTTTGGATATCTACGATTCCCCTAAGTTCAAAAATACATTGTCCTCTTTAGTCATAAGAATGAGGTTGTAGATTTCTCAAACTGATATCTTAGATTAGAATTTGTGTTGCAGATATCTGGAGCGACATCAGAAGCTACGGAAAGTTGGTGCAAGCTTGCTGATAAAACACACTGGACGGCACTGCAGTCGTGACCACATATGACGAGTCGTTTTACCGCCATATTAGAGCCGCTGTCTAGTTAACATCAACCACAAGTATCTAATCAACATCCTCCACAAACGGCTCTCTGATCAGCTTTTCCTATTTCACAGCATGTTCTAACGATCGTATCCACCACAGCAGCTGCTGTCACTTCCGCTAAAACTCGCTACACACAGTACGATTTTCGGCTGTCCCTGACAAAAGATAGCAAATCGTGAGAGAATCGTGGCGTTGTCTTTGGTCTTGGTTCTAAATCGGTGGTCTTACGTCCCACCGTGAGGCAGGTTCAAGGAATCTGAATTACGGATACCTCTAACTGTCACTGTTCAGAAACATCATGTGCCCTTGTGACTAGTCGAAATGAAATGTTGAGATCTGTAATTCTAATTTAAATCAACGTAAATTGTATGAAATGCTAAAACCGCTCCCCATATGTTATCAATGTTCTTGCATAAATCAAGTCAATTAATTCACTGCAAATTAAATTAACACGTGGTCACCTCATAGGAATGTGGACAGATACCCTCAGGCTTCACTTTTATTGCTGTGAGTTGAAAAATAAAGATTATCTGTCTGTGAAATGAAAATGGATGAAAGTTAGCTTAGCTTAGCATAGACACTGTAGGGAACAGTTAACATCCTCCAATGATAACCAGATTCCAAATGCATTTAAAAAAAATAAAAAATCCCTCCTATGGGTAGTTTTGAAGGCAGCTGTTTAAAGGTTTGTTGAATAGGTTGTGTTCTTTCTATCTATGGGAGCCACATATGTGCAGTCGGAGGTGGGAGCTTGGATTCCTGTCCAGAACATCAATAATTCCTGGAACATTTCGACATCATACCACTCTCCATCCATCAATAATGAATTTGCCAGCAGCACGTTTCACTTCTGAACATCTCCGCTTCACATGTGGTGGTTTAGTCAAATCTCCATTAGACTTTCAGCAGGAGGAGGAGAGGAGCTTTTTTTTCTAACTGTCTGCCTCACCCATTAGCTCCACATACATCTGTAAACACAGACCGCGGAGCACATCACGGGTGAATACATCCAATGTGATATGAATAGGCAAGAACATCTGGAGCTAATTAAAGACACAAAACCCAGAGAAGATGTGGAAAAGCACTCAAAAGGTTGAGAGGGAGCGTCGTGCAAACAGGATAACAATGCGGCTCAGCCCTGAAAGCTACTGTAGATCAAGAGAAGGTCAATCAGCTACCGCGGGGATTTGTAAGAACCGTTTGCAACGTTAATTACCAGTTTGATGCTAAATTTAGTAGTTTATGCTCAAGGTTGAAGTCTTGCATTGTCACCCTTGAACAGAAAGCTTGAAGTTTGCTTTTCTGTTTTCTTGAATTCAAAAAATTCAAACTTCTGATCTCCTCTACCTCAGTTCTCTTTGATTATCAAGTCCAATAACATCCTTTAAAAGCTGACACAGAATGGATTCGTGCCTCTGCTGATACACTAAACGACAAAACTTTGAGGAATGTGACAGTTTGGTTTTTAATCTAATTGTGCTTTTGGTGGCGGCAGTCATGTG